TTTTGTGCAGGAATCCCGGAAGAAGAAAAGCATAGTATATCTGTCTAATCTGGTTTCCCTCTTGGGCAACTCCCAGTTAAATACTTGGGGTTCCTTTGATTACCAGTAAACTTTTAAAAGGGATTGCCATACCTTGGTGGATAAAATCACTCATAGGGTTCAAAGTTGGAGGGCTAAGCTGTTGAGCTTTGCGGGGAGGGTTCAACTTATAAGTTCGATGATGGCAAGTATATTACAGTATTGGATGAACATTTTTGTGCTCTCCAAGTATGTCATCACAGAGGTGAAAAAGATATGTAATCAGTTCCTATGGGATATATCGGATACAAGTATGAGAACAAGGGCTCTGGTAGCTTGGCAATATGTTGCTCGTCCGAAGAGGGAAGTCGGTCTTGGCATTCGAAACTTTGTGACCTGGAATAAGGCTAGTGCGATTCGACATGTTTGAAGTGTTCTTATTTCTAGTGGTTCATTATGGATTGCATGTGTGCTCCGTTATCGTGTTAAACAGACGTCTTTTTGGAATTTGAAGGTAGGAGATGCTGGCTCATGGATTTGGCGGCCGGTGTTGAAGTGTCGAACTGAAATTCAGCATCTTGTGTCTGGCCAGGGAGATTCCTTGATTTGGGATGGAGAGCCTATGTCTCGTTAGTCTGTCAAAAGAGTTTGGGAAGATATTAGGCCTCACTACTCAACTGTCGTGTGGGCTGAAATGATTTAGAGTAGAGAAGTGGTGCCAATACATGGATTTATCCTCTGGCTTGCTGTTTTAGGCAGATTACGTACTCAGGATAAGCTGCTTGTTTGGGGTAAATCTGTTTCAGGGTACTGTGTGCTTTGTCTGGGAGGGGTTGAGTCTTGTTTTCACCTATTCTGTGTCTGCCCTATTATCAAGTTCATTGTTAGAAAGTGTATGTCTTCTCTTGCCCCTGTTGATGGTCTACTATCATGGGAGGAGGTGATTGAGTGGCGTGTTAGCATCTGGAAGGGTAAACGGGTTGAAGCAGTTGCTTGTAGAGTGTTCTGGAGTCTTGCTGTTAGTATGCTTTGGCGGGAACGTTGTTCGAGATCGTATGGGGTGAAGGCTGTTAAGTCCCCTGGTGTAATTTGTAGTGATATTTGCAGAACTCTGGTATGGCGGGCTGAAGTGGATTTGGAGCTGCAGAAGAGTCTTCATGTGATCAGATTGGATTAGTCCCTTTAATGTTTTAGGTTCTAATTTCTTGAACAGTTGTATTGTTTGAGAGGCACTCAAAAGGGGGTTTCCTTTTGAGGTGCTTGTGCTTAATGAAAATTTTGATTAACCATAAGAAAATATTAGTGGAATAATTCAATTATTAGAACACATAATGATAATTGCAAATAATTATAATGATAATTTATTCTAAATTTTATATTCAAAAATTGGTTTGGTATCAAGTATTCAAAAGAGGATTCTAACTAAACAATAAAAATGATGTTTTTCATAAGTCCAAATGATTTTTTTACAATAAGAAAAGTAGAAGGACCAATTATGAAATTAAGAAAACAGAATATTCCAAGAATATTCTATCAACTTTAATGGAACGCACTTAGCAGTAAACTTAAGTGGTGCCGGATGCACATATAAAAGAGTTCAGTGGCACTCGACGCCCTATTCAAACTTAAGTTGTACGTCTACCCCAATTCTCAAACTTAAGTGACACCCGAGATATTTTACCCAAATATTACATACATATTGTATGTGTATATTCGATTTTTAGCAAAATCATATTATATATATGTGGTATGTGTATTATGAAAATAAACATATTTCATATATGTAATAAGTTTAATATGGCTGTAAATGAGTCTAGCTGCTCGCGAGTGACTCGGCGTTTGACTCGGGGAAAATTCATTTGCTAACGAGCCTAGCTTGAGCTACACCTTCTGCATCTCGCGGAGCTCGCTCGTTAGCTTGACTCGATGGCTTGTTGAGCTCAACTCGTGAGCTGAATCGTTTAGAGCTCACGAGATGTCTCAAATCTCAACATTGTGGCTAGAGAGCCAACTCGATTACCGATTATTAGCGAATCGATCTATATGAGTTATGTATCATAGATTGCTTCGATACTATGAAATAACATAATTTTGACTAGTTAAAATTTATTAACTAAATAATAAGATACCATAAAGTATAACATAAGATTAGTTAATATTAGACACTTAACTATTATTATTATTATAATTATATTTATTATCTTGGCATTAATCACATATATCATACAAGACATACAAAATAAATATATCAAATACGAGTCAAGATTTTAGTAACCAAACTCTCTCAAACTTGACTCGACTCAACTCGTTAATAAACGAGTCGAGCTCAAACTGTAGTAAACTCGGCTCAACTCCACTCATTTGCACAGTGTTGCTTACACAACTTGTATTCCCCGAATTTTCATTATCTTCCTTCACTTACTTTTCAGATCCTGGCTGCCAACTTCTACTATCTACTCCTCTAATCAAATCCGAGCCATTAATTAAGTGTGCATTTTACGTGAACCAGTAGATATACTAGGAGGATGGTCGTTCTAACAATAGGAGGATATCTAAATTGGGCCCTCCCCTCGCTCCCCTCTTAGTGACAAAGATGTTTTGCTTGTGAATACTAAACACTAGCTAGCGAGTCAAATGAGGAGAAGGCCAAAAGGGTAAAGAGTCCACTCCAAACTCCCATTGTCGTTAATTTTCGCTTCGTTTGGCCGGACAATTTAACGGTGGAAGAACACTCGCTTTGTTGGTTTTGATTAATTAATAGTCGTGAATTTGGTACATGGATTTTCAAGATACCTTATTTTTCTTGAGTCAATTGAGTATAGTGATGTCATATATTTTAGGGTGTTAATTTCTTGTGTCATGTTTGCGACAAAATTATAGTTGACGCATTGTTTAAAGATTCTCGAAAAGCATACAAATGTTTGTTCGAGTATTTAGTCATTAATTCGAATTCTTTTTATTGTTTTGTTTTCTGTTGCTGGTTGTTTTAGAGTTATAGCAACAATATCATTGCAAATGTGCAATAACGAGGGGGCAAAGCGAGAATGTAACAAGGTGGGTCTCGGATTCGCCTTGGTTTGGAGAATTTTGAGTAAAGATAAGTTGAAAGAATTAACTTAACATATGTAATTTTCTGGAAAGCATCTCGTCGGATCATCAAAGATTATCAGAAATACTTGGATTCATGTTGGTTGATCGCCAAGAACTTTATCCGGAATTTGAACGACAATCTAGAACTGGACGATACTCCTAGAGCACGATCCAGGTGGTTTTGTGACCTTCCTCACCAAACCTCCTCAATTCTATTATAGGACTCTCTGATCTTCCTGATTGGGAGAAGAAGAGAGTGTTTGGTCTTGGTGTGTTGGGGACCACAAGCTCCACTCTTTTGCATACAAGTTTCCCATGGGCTCCCATAAAACCCAAAGTGAATAAGTATTGGGTTTCCACCCATTTAGGCTCATATCAATGCAAGAAGTCTTTGAGCTTCTGACTTAGACCACTTATAATAAGCCCACATAACAAAATAAAAAATATAATTGTATTTAAAATATGCGGCCCATAACATAAGAAAAATAATTATGACAAAAAAAAGGAAAATAATTTCCTTACATAAGTATGTTGATCACTATAGGGCATTAATTAATATTTTTTCCATCAAACTCAAACTAGTTTATGAAAAAATTACACTTAAATGCATATAATATATTGTAATATTTACATAGATAATATTATTTGTGGATTGTTTGGGTGAAGGATTTGAGTCCGAATATAATATATTGTAATATTTACATAGATAATATTATTTGTGGATTGTTTGGGTGAAGGATTTGAGTCCGAATCCAATACACGTACCATTTAGTTAAAAAACTATTAATGATAAATTTGATGAAAATATGTTTTTAAATTAAAATTCCAACAAGGGTGGTGTAGGTTTTCCAATTCCCGCGAAATATGAAAATTTGAACTCAAATCTCAATTGATACATTATTTTTAGGCAAATTGGGATTTGAGTAAAATTGTAGCAAAAAAATGTAGTAAAGGTTGTACCGGAAAAATAATAATAATATATTTTATACAAAAATTATAATTTAATAATGGTTCAATAATTTCATACCACTAAAAACTATCTATCTATTAGTAAGATTTTTCAAGTAGGACTAGTATTTTACAAACCCTAATTCAAACAATACATTTGACAAAATCTCTCGTGCCAAAGCACCAGACTTTGTTTTCTTTCTGAAACTAGCACAGGACCCGGCTCTTGACCAGGAGTGTTTGATTATTATATATTTCAATGGGTTGTTGTCATTTATAATAAGTAATTTTTTGGTATAGATAAAAATATATAGAAATGAATAACAAATATAAACAACTAATAGCGATATTTAGAGAATGAATAGTGTCTATTTATTTTGTATTTCATGTAGGATAACATAAGAGTTTTCTTCCATTACACACACAAAATCAATCTTAATCATAAAAGAAAATGATTGTCCATTCATGTAGTTTAATCAAATATTTTTTCTCAATAGTTACCATCTTTATTCATCACGGTACGTTATAGATATGAAATTATATCATGTGGAAGAATATATAGGGCACATTAGAGATTGATAAAAATATGAAGTAGCATGTTGAAGATGTACCACAATGACTTGAAAACCACCCTCGATTCAAAATTAACCTTACTTATTTTGCACAAACTAATATGCTATAGAATTTGTGACCATTTTGCATCCATGCATGAGAGTGTCGTTGTAAAAGCTGTTGGAGAAACTAGAAAATGACCTACTGCCAAGATTCAGAGTGAGCATTATTAACATGAGTCAACGGCTTGATGCATAAAAGAAAAATCAAATGAGTATTTTGTACACTCCGGAAGTTATACTTAAAAGTTGAGCCTTTAGATGCCTCATTGTTAATTTCAGTATTAATATTTTAATGTGAAAGTAGAAGTAGACAAAACAGTGGGCAATGAAGAGCAAATTGATCTCAAATGCTCAATAAATGAGAGCTCACTTTGAAGACCAAATGTTAAAGTAACTTTGTGCCTTCATGTTGCATCTTGTTCTCCCTAAAAGAAACATAGGGAAAGACAATTAGTTAGATATAAAAAGAAATAATACCACCATCTATAATCTTAAACACTTGGGGGGAGATGAGCCAGCTTGAAGATGAGAGTCAAAGACATTGTCAAAAAGAGGTTAACTGTGAGAAGTTCAATATCAAGAAATCTAATAAGAGCTGTACATGAAAAAAATCTTGTGTTTCCCAGTCAATTAGATAACCAAAAGCAAGAGAAATAGACAAAAAAAAAATTATAACTTGCCAATCTAAAGGTATGAAAGACCATTAATTTATAGTATGTGTTCATCGCCATGAGTTAACCATTATCCCATCCACATAACAATATCAACACAATTCTATCTATGACTATTTAACTAATAGGTTACATATTATAAAGCAAATAACAACACTATAGTATATAGATAAAGATGTTCGCAAACACCAAACAATAGATCCACTATTCATTAATCCTCAAGCAGACAATTAGTTGGAGTCTATCCTATCTTTGTTTGGCACATAACACAACCTTATTGAATCCAAGAACAATATTAACATGGGCATACATATTTTGAAAGTGATATTTTGTATTACGGTATGTTGCTCATTGTCTTATGCAAAATCTAAGTATACGGGGTCATTCGAAATAACAGGTACACACTTAGTGGATAAAAATTATGAAAAATGCTAAGCCTTCTTATTAAGAACTAATTTTAAGTTCTTCCGAGACATTGTATATTAGAGAGGGCGAGAAAAAAAAAAGAAGAAATTTAAAGGTATACCTAACTCTTTTGGTATTCTAAATTAGATACTATATAAGTTTTTTTTTGTATCACATGAGAAACACAAATTAATGGCATCTAAGTAAATAAAAACTTAATTCTGCTCCAAATATGTTCATGTGGTTTATATTCAATCATTAAGCTAATCATTTATCTAAGTTTCTTAACTTAATAAGAATTATTAGATTAATCAAAAGAAAAAATCTAAAAGAGAAATGTCGATATTCTAAATTAATAATTAGTTTAATAAGTATTTAAAAAATAAATTATTGAAAATTCAATCTCTCACTCTTTCTCTACCACATTCAAACTGTGTCGGAACCTCCCATTTTGTACCTTCATATATCATTTTCAGACAGGGCGGATTTGCATTAAACAAATCTGATATCATTAATCACGGGGTATAGATTTGATAACCGCCGATGTTGCTTCGTATATGTCTGTCATCTTATTCTTCTGCTGCAGTTTATGTCAAAGTTTGGAAGCTTCATCAATTAACTGTTGATATTCAGACTTTGTATTGATTGCTTCAGTGATGGTTCGGTCATTGGATGCTTCTTGTTCATATGAGATATATATGGTTAACGATTTTGCTTATGTTGGCAATGTTTCAATTTGTAGATTATTAACAATACATCATTTCATTGTTAACAGTATGATCTAATATCCAAGTTGTCTATTAATGTTGTTTGTTCATATTATTGATGTCCATGATATCATTAATAAATTATTTTATAAATGAATATTTATGTTCATTATGATAATTGTTAACATCACACAAAATGGAATAGGTACTAACTCGTATAATTAAAAATTATATTATAACTGTTAAAAATAACTCTATTGTTGTTAAAAAATACATGTCCGTTCGATAAATGGTTCTATGGTTGGAATTTTGTAGAGTTTTTTATGTATGGGTTTTGTATCGTAATCCAAATCATATTAAATTATTATTTTAGTATGGTCTAACAAAACTGTTAGATTAATCTAAAGACCAAAATTAGATTGAAGTAAATTGTAATCAACGATTAGTACCATATATATTATGGAAGCGAAAATTATATTGTAATCTTCAAGATTGAGTATTTTATTAGAATAATGATAACTTACTTTTTCATTCCTGTGTAGCTTGGTTTGATAATTAGATTTATGGAAAACAAACCATCCTTTTGTTGTTTGACAGGTGAAAATAGAGAAGATTGGGCGTGGAGACGAATTTTGAAGTTTCGGCCAACTATGCAATCGTTTATGAGGAAGCATGGTGATGAAGGCTTTTGGAATGAGAAACTGATGCCTAGCTACTCAGTGAGCGCAGTCTGGGATACGATACGTCCTGTGAAGAGCAAACAACACTAGTATGCTCTCCTCTATAGCATGGTCCATGAAACCGTACCGGAGACCGTACCGAGAAAGTCAGCGGTAGGGTATTTTATGGTAAAACCGTGGTTTAATCGTGGTGCAATGGTTATACTGATAAATACAGCCTACCGGTTTAGCCTCCAATACTAGTATTTCGTGGTTGAACCGCCGGTACGGTTTCATGGACACTGCTCTGTAGTAAATTCTATGTGACGCGTTGGAGTATCATAGCATGGATGGTGGCTATGGATGTGATAGTAACCAAGGTAGAGTTGATGTGGTGGGGCAAATTAAATGAAGATAAATGCATTTTATGTCGTACCAATAGTGAGACCTGGGATCATTTGTTTTTCGAATGTTGTTTCTCGAGGAGTATTGTTAGCATAGTTGATAATTTTTTCAGTAGCAACTCTTGGGATCTCTGACTCTCATATGCAGGTGTGGTTGCAAAGCGAAACACGACTTTGGGGAGACTTATTGGACCTCTATGGTGCTCCTTGATTAGCTTTGTTTGGCAGGAAATGTGTTGAAGGCTCCATGGAGAGGTCCCCAAGAACGACCGTGTAACACTCTAACCCGGCCAGGTACTACTTTTACCAAAATACCCTTGTTAAACTGAAAATACTCAAGAACCATAGTCGCTAAAAAGAGCGGGAAAAATTTTCAGAAACAAAATACTGAAATCACTTTCTTTTAGTTCAAAGCAACGCCCTAACACATGGGAAAACTCAAACCTCAATCTCCAGTCTTACTACTAAACATAAAGTACAATAACTAAAAGTCCCAGCGGATGCTTGCTCCGATCCGATCACTGACATCCCCCGCGATGCTCGTACCGTACTCCTCCAGCTGGCTCCCCTCGGAACGTTTCTCTCTAACTACTCCTCTAGCTCTTTCTCTTCAAACTAGTGAGTGAGATGGGGTCAGTCTACGCCCTTATGTTTAAACTTCTAATGCTTAGCACTTTACTTAAAACCTTAAATTGGTGGAAGTTGTTATACTTCCACTCTTAAAACTGTATGGGAGTTACTGTTACTCTCCATCCTTAAATCTCAAAGCTTGACTTAAATACTTGGCCGACACGAGGATCCCTCACGAGCTAGTCTGGTTGCCTAACTCATACATATGAGAAGCCATCCAGACTTTACTTAAATTTAAACTTATCGTGGAAGGCTCTTCATCAACGATTCTCAAGAGCATAACTGCTGCTAATCTTAAAAATCTCAAGAGCATAACTGCTGCTCTGTCTCAAAGATCTCAAGAGCATAACTGCTTCTCTATCTGAAAATCTCAAATGGCAACGGACTGGCGCTAGCGACTAAAAACACTTAAAATGACTTCACCTTCTTGAAGGTGAGTTACTTCTTTAAAAGAACTTGTTTCTTAAACTTTAACAATAACTTATACTCGAAAAATTTCAAAGTAAATAATAACCATTCACTTCAAGTCATAATTCAAACAAGGCACATATCATCAACCATAATCATGCAATCTCAAACATGAATCAAATACTGCACATACATCACGTAAATCAATACTCTAAAATACTCGAGGAAAATACTTGAAGAACACGTAAGGCGTAGAATTTACCCGTTTTACACTCCGCTTATAAACGATATGTAATTTCAGCACGATTTGAATCTACCTCACCATCCTTCCCGATAGCACTCCTTCCAAAGCTTAATTGATCATTTGCACTGGCGGATACCATCTTCTCCATTAAACACTCAATTGGTCATTTGCTTCAAGACCAAAAAAAAGCGGGTCACCTGAAACTCGCAGCGAGAGACTGGACAAGTCTTCCACAAACGCCGCTGCATTCTTTCCCGTCCTGTTCGCTTCTTTCTCTCCTGGCAGTCGACGATCACTTCCCTTCCTTTAGCTGCGATCGAGTGCTCCTTCTTCTGGTTGGGGCGGAGATGATGAGAAGGGAAAAAGAATAGTCGGTGGCGGTCAGGCATATGGTATAGAGAGGGACGAATGGGAGGAGTTTTCTAGCTAGGGTTTTGGTTTAGGTTTAATTGTCGAGGGTCATTTTAGGAATTACAGATTAATTGGACATCGGTGAGTTTCACCCGAAACTAAGTTCACGTCCGTAACTTCCTCATGTTATGTCGAAACTCCACATCGTTTGGACCGAGAGTTCACATTTTTAGTCCTCATCGATTTTAAGGTGGAATTTGACAAATTTTTCCAAGGGTATAATTATAGGTGTCAATCGGGCGGGTTCGGGCAGGTTTGGGCTGGGTTCAATCGGGTTCGGGTTCAAACGGGTTGCGGGTTAGTCGGGTTGCCGGTTCATCGGGTTCGGGTTCAAACGGGTTGCGGGTTAGTCGGGTTGCGGGTTCATCGGGTTCGGGTTCAATCGGGTTGCGGGCAAATCGGGTTGCGGGTTCATCGGGTTTTGGGTCGGGCGGGTTGCGGACGGATCGGGTTTCGGGTTGTTCGGGCCAGCGCATTAAGTAACTTAACTCATTACTCATTACCAACTTACACAATTTATTACAGTAATTTAAAATATTTTCTCAACTTTTTAACCAATTTATTTCTACCTCGTATATATATACTTTATTTTTTTAAAAAAAACTAGTCAAAATGTTAAATCAATTTGTATGACTTGCAAACTTGTTATGTAATTAATCATAATTGGTAAAGTATTATAGCTAATAGTAATGGTGATATCAATATTTGCATTCAAAAGACAACATTAATTGTTTATTTGATATTTTATTATTAATTCAATAGTAATTGGATTAAAGTATCTCGTTTAGTATAACCATGCAAATCTGGTATTTGGTGTGTGGTATTTGGCAAAAGCATAGTGATAAAAGGAGTTATTTCGAAATAACTCATTGCCCAAATAACTTCAGTAAACTGTTGCCAAACGAGTTATTTGTAAAATTGTTCGAATTATCCTAAAAATTGAACCATTAAAGATTAGCTATCAAATTTAGTAAAATTATTGTTACTTCAATCATAACTTACTCAATAGCATATATCCTATACACTTAGCCTTACCCTCACTCAACCATATTAAGTTAGTATATGTTGTTGATTGTATACCCTAAACCATCAATACATTATACACTAACCACATAACCTATACCCTAACCATATGTCTTTGAATTGTGATTTTGCTAGTATAGTTAATTTAAAAGTGAAATTCATACTTTGATTTTCAAAACATAGATAAAAAGTGATATTTGCTAATTGTTATACCCTAACCATATCTTACACTTTACACCACATACCTTGTTCCCTAACCACGTACCATAAACATAAATTAAAAAGGGATCTCCTGCCGTTAAAGACTTCAAATTACTTCAATTGAACATACGTTAATAAAAAACTTAGAACCGTCAAAACCATCAATATCTTATACCCTAACCATATACACCCTAAACCGTATGTACCTTATACCCTATACCTTAACCATATACTTTATATCCTAAACAACGAACCGTCAAAGATTACTTATCAAGTTTAGTATAAACTGTTGTAACTAATGGTTAATTTATTTATTAGCCCATAAACAATTACATACATATATATATATATATATATATATATATATATATATATATATATATATATATTAGCCTTCAAAGCATATAAGAATAATTTTAACTAGTCATGCCCTCCATATAAAAGTTAAAGATTCATATTTCAAAAGCTAAAATTATGAAAAACCAAAAATTGAAAACACCAAATTTGTTTCCTTCTTTCTTTTCACAAAAATACTAAAATTTCCCTCCTTCTTTCTACTTCCATACATTAGAAAACTCAATTTTCCCTCCTCTTTCTCTTCCATAAAATTGAAAGAACCAAATTACCCTCTTCTTTCCTTCTACAAAAAGTTGAAAACTCAAAAGTTTCCCCCCTTATTTCTCTTTCATAATCAAAAGAATCAAATTTTCCCACTTCTTTCTCTTCCCACATATCAAAACCACCAAAATTCCCACTTGTTTCTTTTCTAAAAAATTCAAAGAACCAAATTTCCCTCTTCTTTCTCTTCCCAAAAACTTGAATACACCAAAATTTCCCTCTTCATTTAAAAACATCAAATTACCAAATACATTACTTTACTTTATTTATATTTAATTGATAATTTTATTAAATAGTTAAATTAACCAAAATTTTAATTTATATATTATATTAATATTGTCATGATCTCAAGTGACCTTCATGTTTCAATTTTTGTAATTTTCTTAAAATACGTAATATCATGTGAGTTTCATATTTTTTAAATTTCCTATACGAAATGAAAAAAATAATTTTACTTAAGTTTAGAATGAAAAAGTTTATTTTGAAAAACTATGTATTGAATATTTTTATAATTATTCAAGTGGATTAGATGAAATTCGGGTTGAGTGTAGGGTTACGGGTTAGTCAGGTTCGGGTCAATCGGGTTCGGGTTAATCGGGTTGCGGGTCAGTCGGGTTGCGGGTCAATCGGGTTAGGGTTAATCGGGTTGCGGGTCAGTCGGATTGCGGGTCAGTTGGGTTGCGGGTCGGGCGGGTTACGGGTTGTTGACTTTTAGTCAATTCGGGTTGCGATCGGGTTGCGGGTCGGGTTGATCGGGCGGGTTAATCGGGTCGGGCTATGTTTTGACACCTATAGGTATAATAGTTATTTTGTCTTTTGGAAAGAGCGGGGTGTAACAGACCGAGTTGGCGACAAAGTTATGGCTGCGGGATTTTCGCTTCTTTGTTTTCTCTTATCCAGGTTTAGAGGCTGGAAGAGTATGCATCTCTCCAACAGCATAACAATAAAATAAACAATAAATTCGAAAGTGAAATAGACCCCAACGAATTGAAAGCCTAGCAAAAATGCTACAATCAGTACGACAGATTTAAAGCCCAACATATTTGTTTAAACGAACCATTCCAATTAAAGTATGGTAAATGGCATTTTTTTCCTTCCAAAATCACTCTGTTGCTTCATATTTGAAATTGAGAAAATTTAACCCATGAATCTCCTTCATATATTTATAGATGGCTAAATTACACGTTCAATCACTCAAATTACATAAATATTTCACATTTTCCACCCGAATTACTTTTCTTTCATATTCGCCACTAACTTTATGTTTTGTTTCACCCTTAGTCATCGGACGTCAGTCTCCGTTAAACTCCGTTAACTCCGTCAAATTTTTAATGACGTGGCAAACAGAACAGCTGACCGGACCATTATATAATGACATGTCAATTTAAAAAAAAAATCAGGCTCAACCTTCCCCTCTCTCCTCTTCTTCCCCTTCCCCACCGTAGGGTCTCAAGTTTCTTCTCGCAGCCGATCAATACGGTGATTCTCAACAGTGGCTGCGTCCCGTCGGTGTGGCGGGTTAGAGCTTCGAGCAGGGTCTGTCACTGAACGTCGTGGGAAACTCTGATGTCGAGGATGTGAAGGTTTCGCAATGGATCTATATCTTGACCTAGAATTTGGAGAAATCGACGCGTTCGCGATCTTGTTCGGAAACGAGAACCAGGGGCGGACCTTATAGAATTTCAGCATCGATTTCTGAAAGAATTTCGGCTCCATCGTAGCGAATGTTATGGACCCCACCACTATTGCTGGCGGGGGAGAAGGAGGGGATAACTGGTGGGTGAGGGATCGGAGGCCGTAGGTGGAGAAGAGGTGGTTGGCACTTCCGATGAGGGATGAGAGCTCGTTGATCGCTTGCTTTTCTTCGGGTTGCTGATCTGGGCAGGTCTCGGTGCGGGCGGATCGGGCAATTTGCGCTTCTTTCTGGGGTGTTCTGGATCGCCGGCTGTGGCCTTGGATGATAGAATTTGATCGGATTCTTGGTTGGATCAGAAGGGATGTCGAGAAAATCTGGAATGTAATATTATTGGTAGGGGGAAGAAGAAGCCTTTGTGGAGGAATTGCAGCCACCGCTGCCATTGTTGCTGATGCAAGAAGAAGACGAGGGAGGGGAATGTGGGGCATGATTTTAGTCTTTATTATTTTCTTTTGACTTGACATGTCATTATTTCACTGTTCAGTCAGTTGTTCCGTCTACCACATCATCAAAAAATTGACGGAGTTAACGGAGTTTAACGGAGACTGACGGCCAATCAGTGGCGGATCCAGGGCTGGGCTAACCCAGGCCCCGGTCCAGCCCTCCTTCGGATCCAGAGTTAGTTTAGTGCTTATAAATTTTTTTTTATTTAGGTATTTGGCCTAATGCTATTTAAAATCCTGTCTAGTTTTATTTGATAATAGGATTTTGTGTAACTAGGAAAATGGTTCAGATGAGCATATCCAAACCATTACTCTAAATTTATACTAAATTTTCTATAGCCCCAATGACTTTATTTGAAAAAAGACATGAAAACCTAAAAGTGTAAGTTTCATTAAAATAAAATAAAAACTCTAAACTAAAGCACACCCTTCCTATCAAAATTCAAAAAAATTCTCAATCCCCCTAAAACAAAACAAGAACGAGGAGACGAGTAGACCCAAAATCGATTTCTCCGCCAACCCGTCGAGCTAGTTTTCTTTCCATTCTTTTGATTAAGAAAATATTTACAAACTGGCTGAGTCATCATTTAGATTGCCTCAATTGAGTGGGGCACTAGATTCTAACCGTTCTTTCTGGTGTTTTGATGAAGAAAATATTTACAAACTTGCTCAAGAGTTTAGCCTCGAGACTTTGAAGGCTATGAGATGCATTCTTTGGAGAATGCACTACTCATGTGAGGAAGATGAAGTTTCTTCTCTTGCAAAATTATTAGAGAAGCTGGAGGAAACATGGATGGACACATAATACAAATTGATTTGTCGGTTGATTTGTCTAGTGTTGACCTAGCCGTTTCAACAACTACCATGGAGAGAATATTTTCAACAATGGAACATGAACATTGATTTGTGCAACAAAAATGAGCGATAAATTTCACGTTGATTACTTAGTTATTTT